GCTTCCTTTAGAAACTGCAGTGAAGGATATGGGTGGAAATGTGGGACTCGGGCTTGGTCAATATGTGCCACATACTGTTCTCCTACATAAAACCTGCTGACCTTGAGACATCTCTCCCTCCTGAAAATGTGATTAGCAGGATTCTCCTAAAACAATGTTCTTTAGCATCTTAGTTGATAACCATTTGTTTTTCATATCTGTTTCCAAAATACCAGTCAATAGTGAATGGCTAAAGCAAATTAAGAAAAATCATTTTCTGCCATTTAACTCAGATTCGAAAAGAGAATAAAGTGAAATAAAACAACGAATGTAGGAAGAACAGGGCATATATACATCGTCTAGCCCAGACCCTGCTTCAAAAACAATGTTGCAATTTACATTATAATTAATAGCTGCAGTTTTGTTGAAGTGTCTCAAATTATCACTTTAGATGCTGAAGCTCCGGTGGTTCCCATGGAGACATTTTTCTCCAGGAGATGTCAGATATGATCTAATTTTTTTTGTCTCTAATACATGACAACCTGAAGCTTCTAGCGCCTTTCATTGTAGGGGGTTTTATGTTAGGTAATTGCAATTTATTTTTATAGGCACTTAAAGGTGTTTTATTTGCAATTGGTTTCTGAGCTTAAAGTCTACAATTTTACATATTTTGAAACTTAGTAGATAACCACAACCACTGGATTTATCTTCTACAGTTAAAAAAAAAAAAAAAATGCTTTTTCTCCCTCTTCTCCCTAGCTACTTACTGGGATGGACAAGAAATCGGAGGATAAAGAATTCAATTTTTTTTTAATATTCTTATAACTGTCTTTTAAATCACTTTGTAGTATTAAGCACCTGCCTTGAAACCTCTTCTATTTTTTGCATTCTGTAAATGGAATCAAATTATATTCCAACAATGTTTTAAAGCACAATTAGAATAATTCCTAGTTCCATAAGTGTTTCTGTAATGGTGATAACCATTCTCCCTGTTCTGCTTTGTCCCATCAGGGGTTCGTATCTGTTACCAAGGGAATGGTGGGTTACTGTTCTTCTACAGTATTGGCTCAGAGTTCTTAAGTTTGCCACGTTGTTCACGCTGCCATCATGAGGAATTATCCTTTGTAAGATAAAATGTCTCTCACACAGCTTTTGAAGAAAGACGAGTACAGTCAGAAACTTTTAGATGTCATTGGCTTCCCCAGACAGCCCACCAACCACAGAAAACAACTGGGATAAATTGATTGGTGATCTTAAGACCAGGCAATGATACTGATTATTTAATAGAACCAGTGTAGACTGATGGCCTCGTATCAGAGATAGTTCAGGTTAGTGTTTAAGAAACGGTTTCTGGAGCCTACTTCCTGGATTCAAATACTAGCTTCACCACTTCCTGGTCTCGTGACCTCGAACAAGTTTTTATCCTTCCAGTGGTGCCAACCTCACAAGGTTCACCTGAGGATTAAGTGAGTTAATACATTAAAAGGACTTAGAACAATCTCTGGCTTGTAGGAAGTGCAATTATTATTTCCTAAACAGTTCCCAAAATTTGAATTTCACATAAATTAACATGACATTTTTGGCACTCCGTGATAGAAGGAAAACACTTCTAGGCTGATTCCACCATAGCTCACCACTTGATTTTCTGCCATTTTTGCAACTTTGCCTTTGAAAGTTGTTCCATGGTCATAGAACTTCAGATTTGGACCTGGCCCTAGAAAGTTTTGTTTGAGGAAACTATAGGCCAAATGATGACTAATTTCACGTAATCCTAGAATTTAGAGCTTTACTACTCATCACATATAAACAACCTACGTGGTGATTTGGGGCCTTTGTTGCTTAATGTCGGAGTTCAGAACTTGTCACTGGCATTCAAGAGTCCTGGTGGTTGCAGCTGCCAAGGGAAGGACACCACACTCACCTCTGCCCAGCACACAGGTATAACAGGTGCTGATTATACTGTTATCATCTCGCTCTTGCAGTAAAGCCTTTCAAGAATTTGGTAGAGAAAAGGGCAAAAGACCTTTAAGAATGGAATGAAACATTCGTAGTGTGTATTCCTTTTTGGGAAAGGAAAGTATACTTTTACTCTCCAGTTCGAATATATGACTATCCTACTATGTCTGTGTAATTATGGAAAGCAACTCCCCCTGGGCCTGCTCTTACAAAGTGTGTTCATTTCCTTTTTGTTTTCCTGAAAATGGAAGAAGGAAAAAGGAAAATGCACCAGTCGTGAACTTTCAGATTGCTTTTCACATGGAAGACAATGGAAAGGAAGAACGTCTGTGTGTTAAAGTGTGAATGTGGCCACATGTGAATGTTTCAGGACCTACAGTATATTTGCCCTCTCTGTGGGTGAGAAGCGTCGCAGTGCACACGTGGTGGGCTCTGAAGCGTCGGCCAGGCTGTTGCTAAGCGTGCTCCTGGGAGAAGACTCTCCCATCACCCGTTCTTCCGCAGTATGTCCTTCCAGCCTGTGCTGCGTAGAGGAGGGGAGGGGAGCTGATTTCTGGGTGGTCCAGTGGAAACATGGTCTATGAATATAATGGAATGACCAGACAAACAAGGACACGTGCAAGGGAAATACATGTGCTCATATGAGAAACTAAATCAGCTGGGATGGCACCATGTCTTGGTTATCATGTAGTGTCATTTGAGGATCCAGAGGAAAAGTGTATTGAATATCGTCCGTGTTTATTTGATGTAAGTCTGGTCTTGAGACTGTTAATATCTAGTCTATTTTGAATTAACACTCTAACTTTGGACCTACTTAACAATGTTTTCCAAAATATAGGTTCCATGATACTCCAGCACCACTAAAATGGCTCAGCTCTCCCAGCAAGCTGGGCAGGGGAAGCATAGGCGTGGATAAGGTTCATCATCCACGTCCCAGTCGTATCTCTTGGGCTCTGTTTTTCTCTGCATGCACTTCCAAAAGGATGTTGGTACTTGGGCAAAAGGACAGTTGCAATAAAATATATCTATCAAAACAGCAATGGCTCTGATTGCCAGAATAAAATGGCTTTGCCTCGAGGGAGTGAGTACTCACATGCATTGGGACAGCCAGGCTTAAGTTATGAATAAAGCCATGAAAATAGGAATGCTCACGCAAAAAGAAAAGAATTTTGTCCTGAATTTCATAAGAGTTTGTTGACCTCTCAGGGTTGTCCACTGATTGTTTCTAACGATAACCAAAGTCTAACAGACAAGGAATCATGCGTATCTTTTCTATATTCAGTATGTTCATTCTTCGTTGGGAAGAATAAGAATGCTGCCTCACTTCAAGGATTTAGTTGAGAAGGGGCAGCTGACTTTCAAAATTATACCTGGATGGAAGACTTTATTATTAGAAGCTATACAATGTTTATACACCTCTTAATAAACTGATTTTAATTATACCAGTTAACAAACCTCCATTTAGTCCTCGTTACTGCATTCCTAGTCATTGGAAATGCAAACATAATTTAGATTGGGCTCTGCCTTTAAAGGACTGGCCACTTAATCTGAGGTGGCTGAGTGCACTTTCAGCAAAGAAGTAAGATTCGATGGACAAAGAGAAGGTAAGCCAGATGTCCAGGGTGCCAGAGGAGTGAACAAAGTCATGCGAACCTGCAGCATCAGGAATCTGTGTCCCTAGAATGTTAAGTTAGAGAAGTGACCCTATAAGGGAAGGGGCAGGAGAGAAATTCAACCCAAGGGAGGCCTCCTTCTCCACACCAGTGAGTTTGGATTTACAGCAAAGGCAACCCTGGGTATTTTTAAAGGTTCTCTTCTAGCACCTGTCATTCTTCTTGGGTCATGTTGGGTCATTTCTTGCACTACTTCCACACTTTCCACTACTGTGTATATCAGTAACTTCAAGGGAATCGAGGAGAAGCCTACCAATATCTCTAAGCATCTGCATTTGTCTGCAGTTTCGTGGCCAAGGATGCCATGCAATAAGGTGGGCGTTGGAGCAGAGAAAACCACGCTACCAGCCACCTTACCTGAGACAGAAAAGCAAACCATTTCATAGCATCATGAATATCACACAATAAAATAATTTACCACTGTAACTTTTTGTCACTATACTTAATATAATTTGAAGGTTCATATTTTTTTAAAGAATGTCAGGACGGGGTGGGGGACAGGGGAGACAAAAAAGGAGTTCAGGAGGTTTCTGTGTTTATCAAAAGGCGACAAGAAATATGACCTAACATTTAATTCATGCCATCCTGTAGCCATAGCTCTGCTTTAGACCAAGGCGATCTGCTCCAGGAAAATCTGCGTCTGTCGGAAGATTTACCTTAACTTCTCGGACAGAAGTCCAGACACACACATGAAATAGTTCTCGAATCACCTTGTGTAGATGATCAGATACTCTGCTGACCTACAGAAAGACTTCAGGATCTATTTGCCTTTCTTGGCCTTAAAATTTGTTCTTTCATGGAGAAACGGTTAATACAACTGATCCTGAATTTTGTAACAGGGAAAGACACAGAAAATCGATTAGGCAGTTAATAATTCTTAACTGTTATGAAATATTACCCCCTTAAAAATTCCTGAAGTGTACAGTGTTTTTGTTAGAGCCATTGAAATATCAGTTTAAAGAAATGATTCCTTTTTAAACTTTTTAATACTGTCACTGTAAAAAGCTCATCTAAAAATACATTCAATGCCACCAGTTGTGAATGGGATAAAAGTGGATGGGAGGCAGATTTCCACCAAATGCAAGAAAACATTGTAATACATAAGTCTGTCTGTCCAGGGAACTGGAGCAGGTCAGCTCAGGGAGTCCTAGGATTCTCTGATATTCCTCCAAGGGAGCAATAGTGTTTTATCCAGGCCTTGTGAAAAGAGGAACCACAGGAACAGGGATGGAGGTTGCTATGATTGTTGTGGGAGAAAATAGCAAGATGAGTCCGTCTGAAAGGGTGATTTCAATCGGGAAAACTGGAAGTGTGGAAGAGTTGTATGAAGAAACAGGTACCAAGTCATTTGGGATCAATGGTACACTTGACTCTTTCTTTCTTTCTGTGCAGCCAGTGCAGATTTTCCATATAACCCAGGACAAGGCCAAGCTATAAGAAATGGAGTCAACAGGAACTCGGCTATCATTGGAGGTAGGTGATGTGTAGGACAGCCTTTCGTGCAGCTGCTCACCTGTGGAAAGTAATAATTTTCAGTTAAATAGTAGTCTAGAAAAAACAAGCATTGTCTAGATTTTTATGTTATTCATTTTGCCATTTAACTAGGACATAGATTATGAAGGATGATGTGGAGAAACTGTAGTAAATGTAACCTGGCTACTTTCCAATGCTGGCTTGTTTTGGGGGAGAAAAAAAGAGGAAAAAGGGTAGTGGTGAGCTAGACAGAATCCGGATATGTAAGTAAGTAGCAGTGACCACAGCCAGGGCATTGCTTTATCTCCTCTGATCTTCTCCACGCTCACCCTCGCACATCCCAGATGGTCCAGGGTAGCTTGCTATGAAAATGGGAAGGAATATACCAGTCCGGTTACAGTTATCTTAATACAAATTATCAGAAAATTAATAAGCCAAAGCTGGAAAAACAAACACCACATGCTCTCGCTATTAAATTGGAACTAAATGATCAACACTCATGTGCACATATGGTAGTAAAACTCAACGGAAATCAAGCAGGAGGGAGTTGGGAGGAGGGGATGGGTAAATTCACACCTAATGGGTACAAATGCACACTACCAGGAGGATGGGCACGCTTATAACTTTCACTCCAACTGTACAAAAGTAATTCACATAACCTAAACATTTGTACCCCTATAATCTGGAAAAAAATAGTAAAATCATCTAAAATATTCCAGTCTTTTCTTCTTGCCATGGACGGCTGCAGAATCATTTGATTCTCCTAGGATGGTCCCTCACATTTGGGTCACACTATTGATAGCCCTGTCGCCATTGTGTTCTTCTCTCCCTGCTCCTCTGCCTTATTCCACAAAGATATTTCCTGCCTTTCTGAGTGTGGCTAATATTGTAAACACTTCAAGGATTTCAAACTCGGCCAACCAACATGGCTTAGCCAGTAAGTTTCTTTTCTACAGGAAGAAAGTACACGACTCCTTTCTAAGAAATACAGATGACTATAAAATTAGAATACATTCAGAATGGTGCTTAAATCACATTGTCCACAGTTCTGTATAGTCTGATTAAGGTCCAAATCCTCACTGGTTTTTTGCTTTCTAAAAACATAATGTGCACCTTTAAGTGTAACAGGGCAATGACTTTCCCAGGTTCATACACCCGTGACCACCACTACAAGATAGAGAGCATTTCTATCACCCTAAAAAGCTTTCTTGTGTCCCTCTGTTGTCCCCCGCCCCACTCCCAACCAAGGCAAGGTCTGACGTGCTTCTTGTCACCATTAGATTCGTTTTGCCTCTTTTAGAGTTTCATATAACTGGAATCATATAGGATATAGTGCCTTCTACTCGGCATAATGTTTTTGAGACCTATCCACATTACTGCATGTATCAATAATGCATATATTGTCCAGTTGTATTCCATTGAATGGATTTACTATAATTTGTTTTATCTACCCACCTGTTGATAGATGATTGGTTAAGTTTCCAGATTTGGGCCATTATGAATAAAGTTGCTATGAACATTCTTGCACTAGTCTTGTGTGAACATAAGTTTTAATTTTTCTTTGGTAAGTCCTATGAGTACAATTGCTAGGTATTATAGAAAGTAGATATTTAACTTTATAAGAAATTCCCAGTTTTCCAAAATGGTTGGACCACTGTACCGAGCTTATAAATGAACATCTTAACAATGTTTCGTACTTCTACCTTTAAACACAGTGTATCCACACACTTGTTTAGGTCTTCCTTACTTTTTCTCAGCAAGGTGTTATGGTTTTCAGTGCAAAGTCTTGAACAACTCTGTTCAACTTGTGCAATTATAAATGGTGTTATTTCATTTTCTAAGTGTTTCTTGCTGATATAAAAAAAAATCAATTGTACTTTTACATATCAAACTTGTATTCTGTGACCTTACTAAATTTCCTGTTTTAGTAATTTTTTTGGTATATTCCTTATTTTCTACGTAAATGAGCAAGTCTTCTGAGAAAAAAGTTTTTACTTCTTTATTCCCAATCTGGATGCTTTTTATTTTTGTTTTATTGCACTGCCTAGGGCTTCCAGTGCAAAGGTGAATAAAAGTGTTGAGATTTGACCATCTTGCATTGTTCCATAAGTTAGGGGGAATGTGCTTAGTCTTTCACTATTAAGTGGGATATTAGCTTTAGTCAGGTTGAGAAAGTTTCCTTCTATTCATAGTTTACTGAAAGCTTTATGATGAATGGGTGTTGGAAGTTTTCCAAAAGCTTTTTCCCCATCTGTTGAGAGGATCATGTGGTTTTCCTCCTTTATTTGTTTAATGTGGTAAATTATTATATTGCTTTATTTTGAACGTTGAACCAACCTTGGATTCCTATGCATCATGATGCCTTGCATCACTTCCTCATAATATTAAATATATTATCTTTTTTACATATTACTCGGTTTGATTTGCTAAAATTCTGCTAAGGAAGAATATTGCTCCATAGTCTTTTCTTGTAATGTTTTTGTCTGGGTTTAGTGTCAGGATAATGCTGGTCTCATAAAATGAGTTGAATAGTGTTTTCTCTTCCTTTGTTTTAAGAAAGATCTGTAGGATTGGTATTATTGCCCTAGGTCAAGTTTGTTAATAGTGGTGTTCAGGGTCTTCTAAAGTCTTACTGATTTTTCTGTTCAATTTGTTCTATCAAATACTGATAGAAGAGTGTTAATCTCCAACTCTAATTTTAAATTGGAATAATTCTTCCATTTCCATCAGTTTTTGCTTCATCTGTTTTGTAGTTCTATTAGTTATATACACATTTGGAATCACTGTCCTCTTGATGAATTGACACTTTTGTCATTATGAAATGTTCTTTATCTACTAATAATCTTGACCTTTGTCTCATTAATATAGCTATTCCAGCTTATTTATGATTAGTGTTTGCATAGTATATCTTTTTCCACCCTTTTACTTTTGACCTGTTTCTTCATATTTAAAGTTTGTCTTGTAAACATGATACAGTTGGCTCCTTTTTTATCTACTCTCTGCTTAATTGGAATGTTTAGATCAATTATACTTATTTCTATCTTGTCTAATCTCTATTTCAACCAGTGCTTTTTTGTTTCAGATGTTGTGTTTTACCTCAAGTTCCACTTTGCTTCATTTTATATCTTGCATTTTCTCATTATGATCATGTTTTACTTTAAATCCTTGTGCATATTTATACTAGCTGTTATAATGTCCTTATCTGCTAATTCCATGATCTCGGTCATATCTGTATCTTCTTCTAACTGATTTTTTTTCCTCCTCGTTGAGTGACATTTTTCTACCTTTTTTTTTTTTTTATCAGATGCTAGACATTATTGTTATACTGAGTTTTTGAGTTCTATTGTCTTTCTTTAGTAAATACTGGGGTTTGTTTTGGCAGACAATTAAGTTCATTGCAGCTTGATATTTTTTAGTCTTTTTCAAAGCTTTGTAAAGGCAGATTTAGAGTAGTCTTTAGGCCTATTTTAGCAAAATGTCCTCAGCACCATCCTCCTATAGTCCATATTAAGTATCCTGCTTGTTTAATGAGGTCTCTCCATTGTGCTACCAAGGAAGGTAGCTTGTATTGGGGCTGTTGATTTTATTTTTCATTGAATTCTACAAGATGATATTGTTCCATGTATATAGTCTTAGACCTATTTAATGTCTGTAACTATCAGCTACAATCCCATGGTGACCAGCTGTTAGAAAAAAATTTTCTAGAGCATAGAAAATTGGGCCCTGTGTGAGCTCTGGAAATTGTTCTGCTTACAGCTCCTGAGTCATTTCTCTTTGCCTGGCCTTGTGGAATTTCATCCTGTGCATGCACATATTAGTATTCAGCATGGATTCCAATCTGTGCAGATTATTGGAGTTCTTCTATGCATAGCACTGTGTGTGTGTGTGTGTGTGTGTGTGTGTGTGTGTCTGTCTGTCTGTCTCCCTCCCCCCTTGACTGAGGGAGATTATTGTGTTTTTCTTGAGCTGCCCCTTCCTGCACTGCTGTCCAGAAATCGCCGCCAGTGAGAAAACTAGGAAAAATGTAGGATTCATCTCTTCTCTCAGACATCATGGTTCTGCTCCACGTGTTGCCCAATGTCCAAAAACGGTTGTTTCATAAGTTTTCCCCAGTGCTAGTTACTTTTGGCTGGAAGACAAGTTATTCCTGTTGTTCTTGTTACCCCTGCATGGACAAAAGCAGAGTCTTATTTCAATTTCGTTGTCTTCATTGTTTTGAAGTGTGTGTTTTACAGGGGAAAGGGTAATGTTTGCGGGAACTACGGTGACAAGGGGAAGAGGTGTTGGAGGGATATACAGGATTTGTTTAACTCCAGGGCTTCTCCTGTCTCCACCAGGGGTCATTGCCGTGGTGATCTTCACCATCCTCTGCACCTTGGTCTTCCTCATTCGGTACATGTTTCGTCACAAGGGCACCTACCACACCAACGAAGCAAAGGGAGCGGAGTCGGCCGAGAGCGCGGATGCTGCCATTATGAACAACGACCCCAATTTCACAGAGACCATTGACGAAAGCAAAAAGGAATGGCTCATCTGAGGGGTGGCTGTTTAGCTATGGGATGGGAGGAGGGAGTTCCTAGGGAGGAGGGAAAGGACAAAAGCACCCTGCTTCATACTCTGAGCACATCCTAAAATATCAGCACAAGTTGGGGGAGGCAAGCAAAGGAATCTTCTTGAGACTGAGCACCACAAAAAATCCTTTTTACTATTTCTTTATAGCTGAGTTTCCCCTTCTGTATCAAAACAAAATAATACAAAAAATGCTTTTAGAGTTTAAGCAACAGTTGAAATTTGTAGGTAATATCTGTCTTATTTTGTGTGTGTTTAGAGGTGTTCTAAAAACCCGTGGTAACAGGGCAAGTTTTCTACATTTTTAAGAGCCCTTAGAATGTGGATATTTTTTCTTGAGAAAAGCCAATGCACATACATGTGGCCCCCAACATTCTCTTCCTTTTGCTTATAGTCAACTTTTAAGGGGCTGTTGTAGTGACTAGTTTGTGTTCATATAATAATATTTCTTTTGATGTCCTATAAATTGGAAAAGGAAAGAAAGGGGCAAAGAGAACCAATTATTTGCCAGTTTTCAAAGAGACCTGAATCTACGCCAGTTCTGAGGGTTCCTGCGAACACCAGCAGCTGAAGGAAGAGGGTGTATAGCACCTGTTGTGTAGCAACGTAACCAACACAGCTGTAGAGAAGTGTTAAAGAATCAGGGAAAGTAGCTTGTATTGGGGCTGTTGGTTTTATTTTTCATTGAATTCTACAAGATGATATTGTTCCATGTACATAGTCTTAGACCTATTTAATATCTGTAACTATCAGCTACAATACCATGGTGACCGGCTGTTAGAAAAAAAATTTTCCTGTTTTACCTGCAACATACTGGATTTATATGTGTATAAGCGCCTCAGTGGGGAATTAGAGCCAGATGTTATGATTTGTTTGTTTCTTTTATAGTTGTAGCAAAATTTCTAGTGAATGCATAAATTAGGTTGCTCTTCATATTTTGCTTTAGATCTCTGGTTTTTACACCCCTGTGACAAAATCCTAGCAGACAGTGTCCTCTGGCTGGACACAATACAATAAAGCCAAGTTGTTCCTGCTATTACTCTGGAATCATATCGAAAACACTGCCATGTTTTACATCAACTACTCCACGTGTTTTTCTATCCAAAACAGACACGGCTGTGATTCAGGGAACTTCTATGACAAACGCACTTGAACCGCAAGTTCGTCACAAACCTGGTAACTAATTGTTGCTTCTCAGAGAATGAACGAGTCTACTTAATCACGTTTCTTAGTTTAATCAGAAACCTTGACCAACTTATTTCAACAAATAACTCACTGATTTTATTTAAAAATAAGACTGTGCAAACAAATGGGGACAATACTCCCTACTGGAATATCAAAATTTTAAAACATGTGTTTTACTTACATAAAAGTTATTTCTAGAATGACTACCATTTATCATTATATTTTAGGCCTCCTATACTTAATAATCCCTTTTTAAAAAAATTTTTAGATGCCAACATTTTGAGGAATTATATATGATCACGCTTCCCTTCTCTTCCTGGAGGCGGGTAAGATGAAGTTTAAAAGGTATGGATGCGATTTTTCCGATGGCCTGGCTCAATGAAATGGAAGTTCTACTTTGTTAGGGTTGTACATACACATTCTCCAAGATTCTCAGTGTGTCTCACTTACGGGAGGACCTCCATCCTTGGGTAATGGAAAACATGATCTAGAGTCACAGTGGCACATTGCACCAGTTCGTAACACGTTCTGAGTGAGACGGTGGACAAGCTAACGCTCACCAAGTCAGGGTAACAGAACAAAAGGGCTACGACACCCTTTCACAGCTATTGGCCAACCTCAGGCCCAATCACAAGCACCCTTCATGAAAGGTCTTGGTCATTCTTCTATAAAATACACTTAAAATCGGAAAGTATTTAATACGACTAAATATCAGAACAATGTAACATTTACAAATGACATATTGAAACCCAAGACTGTTTTGTTTAACCAAGATGACTACCATTAAGGGCTGGTTTGTGTATTTTCAAATTGAAAAAGCAAATTTTAAACATTGTGTTTTAGAAGTGTTTCTGATTCTTTTGGCCTATTTTACAGGTATTACTTTTGCACTTAACAAATAATACCAGGTGAAAATTTATTTCTTGCAGTTCCCACAATAGCTCTATTCTTTCTGTGCTGTCTCGGCACTTTTCCTTTCTTCCCAAAATGACTAAGAACCACCAAAAGCAGCTCCTGATAATAAAATGTTCTCATCCTTTTTCTTCCCTCTCTACTTTCCTCCTCCTGGCCACAAAAGGTGAAAAATAAGATCCAACCCTTCTCTCACCAAACTTTTGAACATAGGGCACCGGAATTCCTGCAGGCATCAGTGGTTCCTCCATGTCACCATCAGTTAAGACATAGAGAAATATGACAACACTGTCTCTTTTCCTAAGGGGGTTACAATGTGGCCATCAGGACACAAAAAGGTAGATAAGGTATTAAGTAACTTAAGGACAAGTAAGTGCTGGAAATCTTGGCCCCTCCCTGGTATTAGGGGTTTAATAAAAATTCCTACATCTGTTTATAACAGCCATATCCAGTATATTTTGAATGGTAAATCTGTTTATGTGAAAAAAGGAAATAAATCTTTTCTCCAGCTCCCTCCCTTGACAGCTTAGCGTAATGCCGCCTCGATAGCCATGACATTATGAACCAAATTCAGTGTCTAATCTTGCTTTGTCATTCGCATCCCACAAAATCTTGACGTCTTATTAATATATCCCAATACCTTCTCAGTCAAGCACAAATAGGCTAGTGGTAGCCTCTTTAAGTGTCATAATACCAATAGACAAGAAAACAACAAAGACAAGAGGCTGTTTTAAAGTTTCAGGGAAAGATGATGGCTGATTTAGAGTTGTTTGTGCAGGAAACATCTTCTGTGTGTAAAGCAAACGTCTATGTTGCAAGAAGCTCGGAGAAGACTTTGAACAAAAGCAAAATTAGTGCTATTCTAAGCTCTCTAAATAGCATATTCCCTAGAGCTCAAGGAAGCTAGCCCAGGAGGTAGAAAAAGTTATTGTCAAATTATTCTCTGGCCCTTCTTAATATTTAAGAATATATTTCCCCTTGTGGCTTTCAACCAACTGCTCAAAAAAAGGGACTTGTTACATGGAAGTTTTTATTGAAGAGCTGGGAACAAGAGTTTAGAGTGCCTTTGTTAGAAAATTGTCTGTTGCCCTGCGTTTGACAAACAAGCATCCTTTATTAACAGGAGCAGCAATTCAGAGGCACAAGAAAAAGTATCGGCAGGAGCAAAGAGTGGGTCTTAATGTTGTTGAGTATCTGTTGAGCAGCCCCCAGGTGCAGGCTGAGGGATGGACACGAAGACACAAGCCGTAGAAAGCACCCCAGGAAAAAGCGAACGGCTATTGGATATGAAAATGCAAGTGTTCAGTTCTTGTCAAGAAGAAACTTTTCTTCTGTAACGGGGTCTGTTCTTTGCTACCCTTCCACTTGTTTTCTTCCTCTTCTCCACACCATATCCTTCTCTGGTAGTGTGAATATCTTAATGGTCCCTTTACGTCTCATGCCTCCAAACAATTAACACCTGGTTTGAACCTCTAATTTTTCTTTTCTTTTCACCATCCTGTCAAGCTGTTTTCAAAAAGAAAGGCAGCAATTGTTAAATTGAATTCAAGTCAGCAAGCCAAAAATAGGTCTTAAACTGCTAGTCCCAGTAGAACCACTTGATCCTGAAATAGGTGAGAAACAATAATAACGTGCCCAGCTGAACTGAGCTCAAAACCAGTGGGTGCTGTTTCTGAAGTGATGTTTTGGTGAAAGTGGATCCTGAGTCAGCTGACAGAGTCCTAACCCTCCCTCCCTCCCTGCCTCGCTATGTGACCTCGGTCAAGTCCCTGAACTTCTGTCCCTCTTTGCCCCGTATTTAAGATGGAGCTGTTTTACCTGCTTCATAAGACAACTGCGAGGTGCCGTTGATTCTTGACAGCAGAATACCTTGAAACCCAAATTTAAAGACCAAAGTTGATGAAGCGTAGTGGCAGACTTACTCCCTGGCTTGTGGCTGAAAGTTGCATCAAAAGAAACAGACGTGGCCATGTCCAGGAACGTGGGGACTTGGGGACCCTTGCTCTACAACTGCTAGGTTATTAATCAGGTGACTGCCAGCAAGCTGACCTGTCAACACTGGGAGATGCAACATAGCCAAAGGATAGAGAGGTTAGCATGTTTTGTGCACAGAGCCCTGAATTCCCACCTGGATGGGACTGATGGCTCACCGTGCCTATGTGATTAGACTGGCTAAAAGATGTCAACACAAAATACAAATGTGACATCTCCATGTAGCCTGGTGGCTCTGTGCCTACCCTACATGATACTGCATGGGAATTTTGGAAACTTCAAAGTGCATTTCTTTCACAGCAGTATTTTTTTCACATGAGGGGTATATTAACATTCACTGTCAATGCAACGGGGAAATCATGTTGAAAAATTGATTTGTTATCTCCCATTGAGCAAAGACTGGCAGGGCACACATGTTAACATACAACATGCATTTGCAAGTTTATTTTCCCGATGAAACTGTGCTGTGAGAACAGGTCTACTGAGATAGTCTGTGCCATGTCCGAGTCTCAGGTTATTTACAGTAACTGCTGGGTTCTGAGACAGCTGTGAAAATACGGAGGTTCCTCCCAAGTAGGCCAAGAAACAGTTCTAGATGTTACTAATTCTAACTTTTGTCAGGTTTTTTTTTTTGTTTTTTTTTTTTTTTTAAGTGAGCATGGTGACTGCAGAGGTTAGAGCTGTGAAAAGCTGGGCTGAATATTCCTCCTGTAAAGTCAATTAGGATTCCATCCCTGTGGAATAACACAAAATTTCACTCTCTAAAAGCAACAGCATGTAAACTAAAATGAAAGAAGGAAATTATGTATGTATGCCTAATATTCTTTGTGAATGTCTTTCATTTAACTAAAATTATATTAGAAGCCAGATTGATAAATAAAAAATTCAAAATAGTTTTAATTATCCAAAAATCAATTCTTCGTGTTTTGTACCACTTGTTTCTCTTAGAAGCAGTTTTCAACCTGCAGCAAAAATAAGTTCCAAGTACTGCAGTTATGTCTATTGAGAATGTAATCTTTCCAAAGCTGT